ACACTATGAAGAGAGTTTCATTCTCCAGCTACTTAATTCATGGCTAGTTTTTAGTGTACAACTTCAGATTTATTTCATCAGAGAGAAACTGGGAGGTCCCAGGACATGACTAAGTGGGAATTCACAGCAATGACAAGTAAAAGCTTAGTTTCTAAGAATCTCATTTTTATGGAAATTCCCCTTAGAGTAAGGATAGGCAAGAAAACATGTGGTGTGTGTTGGGTAAGTCATTCCTCAACAGGATGTTTTATTTTTTGTGTTTAGTCTTCACCCATAGTAACAATTATAATGAATGCATCAAAAATAAAGCATGTAGACCTTGTGACCTGTCTGGTAATCAGCACAAATTAGTTTGAGGGCAGGAAAATACAGCTGCATATTAGTTTTATTAGCTGTTCCCAAACATTGTATTGCAATATTTTGAAAAAAAGAATCAACTAAAAAAAAATACAAACAAAAAGAAACCAAACCCAAAATGTTTTATGTGTTTTCTATTTGATATGTATTTTATTTTTTAAGATTAATTAGTATATTTATAAAACTTTTATTTTTAATTCATCAAAATAGTGCCTTTTGGGTAAATGATTTCAGTGTAGGAAGATAATTCCTTGTTTCAGCAACCTGTTCTTAAAAAGAAGGAATTTATCTTTTGCACCCACTTCTCAAGGTTCTCCAAACTATAAAAATGAGAGAAAGGGGAGAAGAGCAACAGGAAGTCAGAAGTTGGGATTACTTAAAATTTTTCTCTTGGAGTCTTCTCAGTCATATGAAGATTCCTTCAGCTGAGGATGATGTCTATTGTGCCTAAAGAAAAATGAAGTTTAGAGTGCTGAGCCTTTTGAGAGAGTATCATTGCACACATTATATATTTTCTGATTGTAGTTTTCTATCTTTGAGGGCCAACATATTAGGTGTTTTGCCCTCTGATGTATCCTGCCAAACCAGAATGCTCTGTGGTATCCAACAAAGGCTCAAGAAATATTTGTTGAAGTTAAAGGAAAGACTCATCAGAACTGCTTGCTAGAAGCCATCTGGTCTGTGCAAGGGATTTAATCTCTGAGCCTGTGTCCTCATCAATTAAAAAGAGGTTAAGAAAGGTCAAAAGCAGTCATAGTTCTTAGTTTATTTAAGTGTTCAATTAATGATAGCAATTGTGATCATCAGAATAGGAGAAAAAAATCATCTTCCTTTAGAACCAAATGAAGCATAGTGGTTTGAACTTTTGAAAGGAGATAGGCATACATTGATTACAAGTTGACATTTGAACAAGATCTCAGGGAGGGTATAGGACAGAGAGGCAAAGACCTAGAACAAGGCCAGGATAGAAGAAATGAAATGAGCAAGGAGAGCAAAAGGAGGGGAACTCGGGGAAAGGGTGAGAGGTGGGAGCAGCTCATTCTTCAACTACATCCCAAGCCTTGGGGAGGCTTGTGAAAATGTATATGGTAGGCACCACCCCTTGCATTTCCAATTCTGAAGTTCACATGTCTAACAAGATTTGGTGATGCTTCTGCTGCTAGAGCAGGGGGTTGTACTTTGAGACCACTGAGTCTCACTGTTGGGAAACTTCAGCTTTCACTCTCAATGATATGGATGGCATTTGCAGGATTTGGGCTTAGGAGGAATAGGATTGGTGCTGCTCAGAGCACATTTAGGAGACAAGGGCAAAAGAAGGAAGCCAATCAAGGCATTCCTACAGTGAGGCAGATATTTTATCTGCCGTGGCAACACTATTGATTATTATAGTCTGTACGATCAGATTATTTGAGGATGTCTTCTATAGCAAAAGCACATTGGACATTAGTTATGTTAATTATATCTCTGACTCAATTTTTATCTTGAAAAAGTAGATAAATTTCTTTTCAAAGAGCTCCTGGTCTACAAGTCTGAGGAAAGGATAGAAAACACAGAGTTCAGAGTTGGGATACTGGTCCAGTGTGACTAACAAGGACTCTCTTAAGGAATGTGGGACTTCCTAGCACATCCCTGGGAAGGCAAAAGGTGTGAGGGAGAATTAGACCAGAGGACTCAGGTTCTCAATTAGAAAACAGCATTTGACCTCCTGTCTGATCCTTAGCAGAACTAGAGAGGTGAAAGTCCCCAAGATCCTAGGAAATTTTGTTTGTAGTACATACAAATCCTCCCTAAGTTACCCAGATCTGTGGGGGGGGGGTGGTGAATAAAAAACCTGAAGCATGTCTCTGTTTACTTCCTTCCAAAGTAAGGGAAGCAGTGAACATTGAACTCGTAGTCACAAATAACCTGTTAATAACTGGACAACCATACCCAGGACACCAGGTCTCCTCTGGGTTTGTCTCCCAAAAAGGATCAAGTGAGAACATTAACTATTAGTTGTAACTCACTTCAGTGTCACAACTAAAGTGAAGTCGATTCTTTTAGCTTTTCTAGTGTGACACTTATTGGTTCCTCATCAGAATTCCTTCTGTACACAAAAACAGTATAATGTAAAAGTCCATTAGGCGCCAGGGGTAAATCTTACGAATGTTAAGTACCATCATGAAAATGATGGCAGTAACCCCTTTGAGGGAGAGAAGGGAAGCAAACTATGATATATTATAGTTACACCGAGGGAATGGCTTCTAGGGTCCTGGTATACACTTTGGTGACTATAGGTTACCAAAATGGATGAAAAATTGGATGAAGAAAAGATTTTGAGTGTTCTTGCCACAAAGAAATGTTAGTTTGTGACAGACCAGTTACCTTGATTTTATCATTGGTACCTGTACATATGTTCCAAAATATCAGACTATACTCCATAAATATATACAGTTCTATCAGTCAAAAATAAAATTTTTAAAAAGAAAATAAGGGGGTCTAGTAGAGAATGAAAAAATGAAATATTAAGATAGGGAGCTACTAAGCACCATAAAAAGGAGTTAAATGAGAAAGACAAGCAGAGGCGGGCAGAACCCCAAGTTCTTGGGATCTCTGAGTAGGGCAGAGGCTAAGCATGAAGTAATGTATTACCATGCCCACAAGGCATTGAGCCAGATGTACCCCCAGAAAGCCTCTTCTACACTCTCGATGGACATAGGCTAGAAAGAGAATAACAACAAGGGTTACTGGATCTGGTAAGGGTGGATCGTGATACCTGATATCCATTCAGACTTGTTAGACAGATAACCCAGAAACTGGACAGATTTTATAAATTCCCACATAATTATTTAGGACTAGGATTACTTCTATACATGTCCTGGGCAAAACCCTGTAGGAGCTCTTCCTCCTAAAGATGGCATTAAAAAAAATTACCAACTGTCATGGTATCAGGGCCTGCCCTCCTGTTTAATCCTCAGGTGGGCAGAATTAGTCTGACTCAACATATGAAGACTCCAGAGCTCAGTTAGTAAAAGAATAAGTCTGGTATTTTAACCTGGAGCCTGGTTCCACAGGAAATTGTCTTCTAGTTATTTTCAAGGTCTTATCTTCAACCTTTTGCTTCTTTCACTTGTCTAGCTCTCCTCTGGACTGCCTGTTAGCCTTTGTACCTAGCATTCCCTCACCCTTGGGTGAGAACTGTAGGATTGGGAGTCAGATTTTATTTTCCCTTTAGCTGTTGTTTCTAGATGTTGCTTTCTCACTTGCCCATGTATTCTCTACCACTTAACTATGACTGATAGCTAGGCACTTGCAAAATGTGGTCGAAGTCCTACATTGTGGACTGCCTTGGCACCTCCCAACCTCACACACAGGATGAGCACGTGTTGGCCTGGAGTACTGGAGTCATTATTCTATCGGATCAGCAGAGCCAAGAACTGTCTTTCCTATCACTTCAGATTATAGAAAACTCTTAGTCTATAAGAAAGGTTCTATGCCTAGCTTTTGGGAGACTCTGCCCTAGGGAGTCTTTTAGGGACAATCACTCTTGTTAATTCTGCTTGCCTTCCTTGGTCACATCCACCTCAGTGGAAGTACTGATTAATAGAGAATAGATCACTATTTTAGATTAAATCAGTGCCTTTAGGGATAAGACAAAACAAAACATTCTGCCCAGTGTGGCAGAATGGGTATGGAAGGGTCTACACATTGTACAGTAACTTGCTTGCTATGTTGCTTGCTATGTCCATATGGTTGTGTCCCCTCTCCCCAAATTCAAATGAGGAAGTCCTGATCCCCAATGCAATCATGTTAGGAGGTGGAGCCGCTGGGGAGGTGATTAGGTCACGGGGGGGGGGGGGGGGGGGGGCAGAACGTTATTGAAAAAACTCCAGGGAGCTAGTTTGTACCCTTTGCTACTGGAGAACACAGCTGGGAGGCACCATCTTTGTCCTGACCTTGAGGCCTTGTCCTTGGACTCCCATCCTTCAGAACTATGAAATAAATCCTGTTGTTTCTAAGCCATTTGGTTTATGATATTTTGTTAAAACAGCCGTAATAAACCAAGACAAGACCACAACCCCCGCTCCCCCCTCCTCAAAGTAACCTTTTTTTTTTTTTAAATAAGCCAAAATGAGTCAATTACCTGGATAAGTATGCTGAACAATTGGATGACTTAGTCAGCAATACATACAGAGTTGTTACCACTGCCCAAATCTGACTGTGCTTTTGATCTCTGTTTTTATTTAGTTGCTCTGGAGTAGTACCACTGGGAGTCTCTCAGCAGCACAATGAGGCTGGCAATTGAATCAGTTGTTTGTGAGAGCTAAACTTTTATGAACCTTTAGCACATCCATTCGCAGACATTTCTAAAGACTCCTGATTTTCCTGAGTCTTTTGTAATGATAACTTATGTATCTGAGGTAGATCTGGGAGCTATTCTTTGTCAAGAGTTAGGAAATATAGGCCCTCTTGTCTTCTGTATAAATGTAAGTTGTTGTTGGTATTATTATTATGTCTCAGTAAGGTGCTCCCTGGAGAATTCAGATACAGTATTTCCGAGAGTATGCTTGGCTGTGAAGATGGGCAAGGAGCATGGTAATATTATGGTATGGTAATGCATTTACCTTTTTGACAGATGATTATCCTCTGCTGTAGCTGAACCAGAGGAAGGACAAGACTAGCAGAGTCACCGGGGGTACTTGGATTTTCTTGGCTTTACATTTTCAAACTGAAACAATGCAGAAGCAGTCGGGTTATCTCTATCTGAATGTTGTGGAGGGGGATAGAGATGAAGGAAGCCACACAGCTCTCCATAGTAATTTTAGAAAGTGAGTGGTAGTAATAGTCTCCTAACAAAGCAATGAGTACAGGTTCTTATGCACTTTACCATGTTGGTGCTTGAGTCAAAGGAGTAACGGAGTGGAGAAAAAAGTCTGTCAGGCATCATCATCACTGATAATAAAAAGTCTCCGAGGTCTCCTTGACTGTTACATTAGAGGAAAAAACAAAGACTCATTTTAGAAATCAAAAGAGGGGAGACTTCCCTCCCAGGTGTGTGTAATCCAGGTTTGTGTTTTAAAGGTTTTATGTAAAATAGAACTTTATGGGAGTTGCTGAGAGTTCATAAGTTGCAAACTGTTGTATAATAATGATAACCAAAAAATAACAACTTACACTTCTATAGAAGCCATGCTGGCCTAGGTAGGTAGGTGATTCTGTGGGAAGCTGAGCTTGAAACAACTTATCTTGTCCTTCATTAATCTTGTGAACTCATGAAAATTACTTAAACTTTTTGTCCCAGATTTCAGTTAGGAAGCAAAGAATACAGTATCCAACTCTCACATTTTTATCGCTTTAGTTTTAAGTACATAGTAATTCTTCAGTAAGCAATTTGCCCCCTTGTTTATTAACCTGTCCTGAAGAGAGATAGACAGACAGATTAATTACTATTGCTACAAAGACTTACTGAAGTTTTCCTTATCTTTCTCTTTTTTGTAATGTCCTTACAAAACCATTACTGCTTTCATTTGAGCTCTAAGACTCTATATGTTGCATTGGTGATATATAGCTGGAGCTCAGCAACAAATTTTTTAAATAGAAGGGCTTCATCAGGTTAAGCATGAACAGACTAAATTCTTTTCATGTTACTCCTATGGATCATGAAAGATCTTCTGCAATGTCAGTATCCATCATCTTTTACTTGGGGCAAGTATGAGTATCTGAGAAAAAAAAAACAAACCTAACCTCACAAATCTATACAGTATTTATTTATTTATTTATGACTTGGCCCTGGGCCTTAAACTCAGAGTCTCAGTGCTGTTTCTGAGGTTTTTCTGTTGTTGTTCGGGCTAGCTTCTACCACTTGAGCCATAGCTCCACTCCTGTCTTTTTGGTTGGTTAACTGGAGTTAAGAGTCTAATGGACTTTCCTGTCCCAGCTGCCTTTGAACCATGATCCTCAAATCTCAGCCTCTTGAGCAGCTAAGATTACAGCTGTGAGCCACCAGCATGTGTCTCCTTATTTAAATCTTATGTTTTAGGGATGTTCTTTCTTATTTCTTTTTCCAGTTTTTTTTTCTTACCTTCAACAATGAGGGACAAAGTATGCTTGGGTTGGGAAAGAGAGGTAGAAGATTAGAAAACTCACACAGAAGTTTCTGCATATTGAAGATATAATTACAGATTCCCACCAGTTCAAAAACTTAAAACAAACCTCAAAAGAACAGAAATGTAGTGGATATTTCCCTTCTTTAATTTCCTCTTTTATGGAACAGTCACACAAAGTAGAAGCAGTTGCTTTTCTTTTACTTTTTAATAAACTGGAAATCTGCTTTTAAAGCCATTGGCTTCAAATATATAATACCTAGAGTTTTATTGTGACAGAGATATTTTGCAAAGCAAGACCTAGTCAGAGTTGCTCAGTCAAGATGCATCTCAAGTGAAATGTTAACTCAGTGTTTCTTTGTGTTTGGGAATTCTCATTGGTATGCTGGGCTGGTGGCCATGTTTTCTGGTATCTTAGCAAGAAGAAGACTTGGCAGTAAGAAAAGACCACTAGGCGTAGAGAGGCTGAACCTCTTGGCTAGGACTGTCTGACTGGACATGACTATAAGCCTAATGTTTTACTGCAGATGACCAATAGGTTACCCAAGCTCGCATCAAGAGATAATAGTAACACAGGCTTTTCCCCTCATCAGCATGCCTGGGAAGAAGCATCCTACAGCATTCACCATATGAGAGAGGAATAAAGAAGGGGAAGAGTGGGATACTAAATATCTTTGTAGTGCTCCAGTCCTGCACAATAAACACTTGACCTTTTCCAAGTGTCACTTGTGACTTATTAAGCCTACCAGACTCTCCTGAAGCTGGCCCCAAGCTGGCTTCTACTGTGATTCTTAGATCTCAGCCTCCTGAGTACATACAGATGTAAGCCACCAGCATTGGACAGTTTGGTATGGCTTTAATCACACATCTATGAGCAGGAAATCTGTAAATTAAATAGTGGGCAAGGAGCCCACTATTTCTGTGATGATAAACAAGAGGGGAAAGAGGTGATGTCAAGGGATATTCATTGCTTTGTTAGAGTGTGAATTTGGTGATCTTGATTGGGGAAGAAATAACTTTCTCACTGGATTGTTCAGAGAAAAGCACCTCTCTTAGATTGTAAATTGGAGTTTCAGTTTGAATAGACTATGAAGGGTCCATTATCTAATGGGAAAATTTCTCTACTTAGATCTATAGTTAAAGAGATTTGTACATAATCTATTGGTGACATTAATAGTCATCACAATCATATCATTGTAATCATATCTTCTGAGCCCTTTCCAAGTGCCTGAGCCTCCAAAGTTAATATTCATATACCATGCAATTTGGAAACAGTACCATAATTAAGAGTATGGGAAGCCGGGTGTTGGTGGCTCACACCTGTGAGCTACTCAAGAGGCTGAGATTTGAGAATCACAGTTCAAAGTCAGCCTGGGCAGGAAAATCCATGAGACTCTTATCTCCAATTAACCATCAGAAGTGGTGCTGTGGCTCAAAATGATAGAGCACTAGCCTTGAGCTGAAGAGCACAGGGACAGCCCCCAGGCCCAGAGTTCAAGCCCCATGACTGACAAAAAAAAAAAATTAAAAAAGAGTATGGGTTCCTCCCTTAGATTGTTTGAATTGAATCCTACCTCTGCCGGACAGTTCTGGTGTGAACTTGAATTTCTTGCTTGGAGTCTGTGCCTCAGTTGCTCTAGCTGTAAAATAAGATTATAATATAACAGTACACAATCTGTAGTACTCTGAAGAGTGCAGAAAATAACACATGACAGTCTGAGATGGATATCTGGCTGGGAGTGAGCACTCAGTAAATATTAGCTCTCATCACTTGATTTTATGTGTACCCGCAAAGAATCTGAGTCACTCTTTCGCCTCTTCATGTGGCTTATCCTACAGGTCTTTGGGGACTTGTGCAGGCCATTGCTGTTCTTCCAGGGAACCTTCTCTGGCCCTCCCACTTGTGTTCTGAGAGCCTGCTTCTACTTCTACAGCCTTGGCCCCTGAAACTATAATCATTCCCAAAAGGCTTCCCTCCCCACTGGATTGGAAATATGTAAGGATCTGCCCAGTGCAGAATAGGGATTCAGTGAGTGTTTCCTGGATAAATTAAGGGAAGTATAATTTCACATCACAAAGCTAGTCATTTGAGTGACTGGTCATCACAATCATAAAATAATTAGTTGTAACAATTAAAAGTATTTTCCTAATAATACTACTACACTAAATTATGACTGAAGGCTGGCTATTACTTATGCAAAGAATATGTCTGAACTACTTGGACCCCTCTCAACTTTTGGTGCTATCCTTCCTTCAAACCTACAACAATCTATTTTATCCTCTGTCCCGGCATGCATACATGATTCCCTGTCATGGGATTATCCTTGTCCAGCCCTGTGACTCTGACTTCACTTTCATTTTCTTTCAGACAGCCATCAGTGTTTTTCAAGGCCAACATTATAAAGACTAATGATGCTCATATGTGATACTAAAAGGTGGTTACAGTTGAAATGGGTCTTGCAGGAATAGTGATTCAAGTCTTTCTGAAGTGTTTACTAGACCTGAGACACAAAGCCTGTTAGTATTTGTACTGAGTTTACCATCTGTACATGGTTCATAGGTTGTCATTAACAGGTGTTCGTTAAATGAATAAATTAGGTTGTTGTAGAGAAAAGTTTAGGTATATAGTTAAAAGACCTTAGAAAACAAACCACCTTTAGCTTCTTGCTAAAAGTTGGAACCTCAGAAATTAGCCATGACTTGTTTTCACATGATTTGCTTGAAAACAAAGCAGAATGCTATTGGCCTTGACAGGTGTGGCCAAGAAGGCTTCATGGTTCGCATTAGCTGCAAATCATGTCTCTCTCATGGCTTTATTAATGAGGGTCAGAAATGTCAGATACTAAAACATATTTCAAGTGTATTGGCAGTGTAAACTTACACTTGCCAAGAAAGTGCTGACAAGAGAATCTGAGTAAATGAAGTTAAACACTTGTACATATGTGTACTTTTAGGCGTACATACATGTAGGGCCTCCCAAGCTGGCCTGTGACAATCCCACAACTGTGGGAGATAGATTTCCTAGTGCTAGGAACAGGAACTCAATCAAGGGGCCTCTCTTGGTAATCACCTGGCACTGGGTAAGTGCCACTGTCTCTTCTTACTTTAGGAAAAACAACAGGTATTCAATCAAGTGTCAGATTATTAGAGACAAAAGTAGACCTGAAGGAGCTGTCCTACTTCAGAACAAAAGCCCTCAGTGGGATTCCTGGTTGACATCATGAAACCTGTCGTTACTCCATTTGGTTCTTCCCTCGCAAGGTGATGTTTCTTTGGTTTCAGCAGTAAGGATTTGGGGTCATGTTGGCACTGGATTTCTTCATGTTCCGTATTTGCACTGAGAACAGAATAGAATGCATATTTATTTTCTAATTTTATATCATATTTCTCTAGAAGTTATGGTCTTAAAGGCACAATAATGCTGTTGCGAAGAAACAAAATACTATCTGTGTGATTTCCTGGGAATTTGTTAGGACAGTGAACATCCTTCTCTTCAACCACAGTAGGTGATCAGGAGTCTTGTCCAACATGCTCCCATTGGTATAAACCAGTTAAAAGTCTTCCAGAAAGTCCAAATAGATGACTTATGTTAACAAACTATATTATCTAGAAGTCTGGTCTGTGACCTCTCTAAGGTAGCAGTTCAAGTACATTTTTAAAAAACTTTTTACTTTATTTTTATTTTCAAGGTGATGTACAGAGGGATTATAATTGTGTGCATTGGATAATGAGTACATTTCCTTTCATACAGTGCCTTTCCTTCCCTCACTCACTCCCCAGGCCCTCTTTCCCATCTCTGCCCACGAGTTGTATAGGTCACTTTTATCAGCATCCAGTGAGCTCCACTGCTGCACTTTCTCACCCTTTTCCCTTTAGTTCCAACCGAACATTTTAAGAAATGATTTATATTTTATTTATTTAGCCTTTTAATAGGTCATATTTTCCTGGTTCTTTGAATGCCTTATTAGTTTTTGTTTAAAAACTGTTAATTCACATCTAACAATAGGAAAACAATGGAAATTAGGTCTCCCCCTTCTTGAAGGCTTATTGTTTCTTTTTTTAACCTTATTTTTATTGTTCTAGGTTGTACCTGCAAGTTTTTTTTTAAACACTTAAGTTAATGTAAAATCAAGTAATACTTGGTAAAGTTGAAGAATTGGGCCAATCGGTCCCTGGCTTAGGAAATTTGGCATTGGCATTAGAAAGATATATGTCAGACAGTTACATGTGGGGAAGATTATTCTGTATTAAGTGCCTAATGATGTCTCAAGGAGAGACCTACAGTCCTTTGAGACTGGGGCATGTTTAAAAAAAGGGGGGAGGCTTTCAGTGATTACAAGGAGATACTGAATGGTAGGGGCCAGAGATCCTAAGTGCCTTGCAGTATGCAGAGTAGTTCTGAACACCAGAAATTGTCCCCCTCAAAATACTGATGACCCTGTTATAATTCCAATCATGGGAGCATATGACCTTAGAGCTGAGTCTGAGTTGTCCTCGGTCCATTCTGTGAATGGAACAAAGGTTCTATTTCCTAAAGTCAAGGAAACAGACTGTGTGGCAAAGTGCTTCAGTGATCAAAGTCAGTACAGTGAAATGCGTCGATCCTTCTGCTGCCTAAAAGGCCAAATTCTCTTAGCATTGATTTAAAGCTATAAGGAATCAAGACCCTTTCTTTAATGATGCTTTCTGGTGGCTCTCCATTTATGTTGAAATCAGGAGCCAAATGTAGAGGCCCTGGAAGAGGGCATAGTTCACTTCAAAATGGTATTTCTTCATGTAATATGCCTAACAATAGCCTATTTCTCATCCCTTTTTAAGCTATCAGAAAGGATTTTGCATTTTAAAAATGTAAATAACTTTATTTGTAAAATATGATATTGGATTTCCTAAATACGTGTTTATTCTAGAGCAGGCACTGTGACACAATTAGTTACCAACAGGAATTTTAAGCAAAATACATATTTCTATTTGTTTATTTTAAAGAGCTACTTTTCATTCCCTTTTTAAAACTTGATCTGCTACAAGAAAAACTGACCCAAAGTTCATTCTTAGAGTATCTGTATAACTTTCAAAAACTATATAAGATGAAATTTTGTATTTTTGTATCTTAGGGTCCTACTTGGCCCAAATAGATGTTTAATATAAAAATAAAAATAGATGAAATTTACATTTCAAATTATGTCACTAAATAATTATGTTAATAAATATTATTCATGAATAAATTTTCAGAATTCTAAAAATGTATATAAACTAATTTATTTAAAGTAATTTAGAGATAAAATAATGTTAATCTCACTTGTTAAAAATACAAGATATCTCATAGGATTTGGTTTTAATGTGGTTGTGTCATTTTAGACAGTACTTTTATATTTACTCAGAAATTCATTCAAATAAAATTGTATTGTCAACATTTGGCTTATATATACAACTTTTACATGAATACCTATATCATTTAACAAGCCAAAAGAACATGTCTTTCTGACAAAAAATTTGCCATATGATTCGATATCCAAGATATGAAGAATATTTTATTATTTACAATAACATAATAAAGTTTAAAAATATACTCTTTCATTTTTTAACATATTCTGTTTTCCAGCTTCTTTGGTAAGCATTTTAAATATATTAAATCATTATTCTTAACAACAAATTTATGACGTGGATACAGCCATTAGTATTTTTATGGACAGGGAATTTGCAATATTTCTAATTTTAATGTGTATAATACTTCTTTAAGTGTATTATATATAATAGCTTAAAATATGTTTGTCATACTGATCTCTTTATGAGGGAAGAGGCAAATACATTTCAGGTTTACCCAATTGTATTTATCCTCATTAACATTCTGGGTTGTTTTTGGTTTTTTTTGGTCACAAACAAAAACTATGACAGTACATTTGATGATTACATAAATTAGGTGGATAACCTATCAATTCAAAACTAATTCTGGCACAGTTTGGTAAATGAGTCAAAGTTAACTTCATCTTAAGTGAAGTTTCCCCAGCAGCAGTAATGGCTGCTGAGAAGTTGGCATCCCAGCTAGAGGCGGACACTTGGAGGGAATGTTCTTAGCAAAACACTCACTTCAGCGGAAATTAGGTCAGCCTTCTGGGACATTTATCATGTATACCTGTCACCAGCAAGACCTAGTCCTTAAAGTGAAATGAGATCACAAACTGCGGTCCTCCCACTCTGAGTCGAAAAGGACACTCCAAACTGATAGTTCTAACAAATATGTGAGTTTGGCAAGAAGCACCCATGAGTCTGAAGCCAACACCCATATAGTTGCTCTGGGAATTGAATTCCTTAATACTCTGTTTATAGAATGTTGAAACAGCAAATGGATTTAGTCTGTTCTGAAAAAAACAATCTGTCCCCATGGCTTGTTTGGAATAACATCTAGAGTTGCTATAGAAGGAAGTGGGCAGATGACCGGTGTGTGATTTAGAAGATAGTTTCACCAGTTTCTGTGGTCACATACCTCTCAGCCAGGTGTTTTTTTTTTTTTTTAATCTTCTTCTTCTTCTTTTGGTTGTTGTTGTTGTTTCTTGACTCAGATTATTATTTGCATAGAGGAAAGGCCACTTTCTACTGAAGCTAAGCAGTTGCTAATTTGATATAGAAACTAGAATAATTAGCAAAACCCAGAGCAGTGGAAGGTAAGCTAGGGCATCTGGTAAAAACCAAAACAACAGAAATGAGTCATAACCTCATGCCCTTTCAGTCATCATTCGGCATCACTCTGGTAGTTTCAGAGCAATGTGGGGATCCTATGCAAAGTGAGAGTAGTACCTGCGTCAGCAAACAGGCAGTTCAGCATAATGTATATAGTTCATTCAGGCTTTCACGGGTTGAAATGACCACAATGATCAAGCAGCCCGAGCTCTGTCTATACCAAGTTAAATTAGCTTTACTTTGAAAGGAAGTACTTGGAAGTACTTGTCTTTTCTCCTATGTCCTTATTGGGTTAGCCCACTCATCAAGATTTAACTAGGGGCCAGGCACTGGGGGCTCACGCCTGTAATCCTATTTACTCAGGAGGCTGAGATCTGAAGATCCTGATTCAAAGCCAGCCTCAGCTGGAAAGTCTGTAAGACTTTTGTCTCCAGTTATTCACCAGAAAACTGGAAGTGGCACTGTGGCTCAAAGTGACAGAGCCCTAGCCTTGAGCAAAACAGCTCAGAGACAGCACCTAGGATCAGAGTTCAACCCCCGCCCCCCCCAAAAAGGCTTAGCTAGACACTGCTAATGTATATATGAAGCTAGCTGAAGAGAAGAGTGAAATCATTAAAGACTTATGCAGTAGAGAGTCTATCTGTACACATCAAGATGCCTAAAAAGAATGGATAGGTAAGACCACATGGTTCCCTTCTGTGCATACTGCGTTCCCACCATATGTTTTACTCTGAGGAATGGCAGAATTAAGATGAGGAGGACATAGTTCCTACTTTGAGGCTTAATTTGTGTGGGTATATGTGTGTTATTCCAACTGGTAGTGTGTGTTGACTGTTTATCTCTCTGACAGATCTTTACACAAAAAATAACAATGCTATATGTGAAATGTCCTCAGTAGAAATTACTTTAAATTTTAGTGAAAGAATTTTAAAAATTTAGATTTTTGTCTGTGAAACGTTGCATGTAACACAAAGATTTGTGCAGAATTTCATCCTTTAGAAAGGTAGATCTGGAAAGAATACTTAAGGAAGAAATCCTCCAACAATTTCTTGCTGGAAGAATTTTTTCCAAAAAAAAAAAAGGAAAGAAAAAAAACCCCACCAACTTTCATGATCACACTCTATTAAGCCAGGACCAGGAAACAATTTCTAATCAGAACTCTGATCTGGGCAGAGATTGTGCAGCCTTTTGTCCCTGGCCTCAGATCTGTATTCTCTATTCACACATGCTCACTTCCAGCTGTTGTCATTGAAATCCCACATAATCTTCCAAGGTCGAAGGGCAGTCACCCATGGCTGCTGCAGTTAAAAGGTTATGCTGATTTCTGTTGTCAAATATTGGCCTTTTTCTCTTCCAATCACTCCCATTCTACTTCTTTTTAACAAGGAAAAACTCGGCCGCGAATTGCATTACATGACTTTAAAGTCTTAAAAGTGCGCCTCCATTGTGCCGACAGACATGGCCTCAACAGTCTAATTCATTCTGTTATAGTTCACAAAGAATTTTCTGGTACCTCCAAAAGTCTTCCTGTTTGTGCTAAGCCAGCAAACTTCAAAGTATTGTGGCCCACAC